CGCGGGGGTCAGCGCGGGGCTGCCCGGGCCGGCGGCGGCGGGAAGGGGCCCTGTGGGGACCGCTGCCCTCATCCCCACGCGTGCGTGCATATGTATTCGTGTACATTATTAATGTATGCACCTACGCAACATCCTTAGGGCAAACCAGTAAAAAACCCAAATCAGTCCCGAGGAGCTGGTCATTCACAGTTGCTGCCTGTCTGTGTTGAGGGCAGCGCTTGTCCAGCTCTGCAATAATCTCAGTTTTTCCATCCTGCTCAGAGCTGTTCTGGTTTAACGTTTGTTAATTGCTCATCCCTGCACCACGCAAATAGTTTGTGCTTTAGCCTCCCTCGCAGGAGGCGACTGATTCCCTAGGTCAGGGCAGCGCGTGAACTAATGACTTTCGGATGGGGCTGGTTTAATTACTGTAATAGCCGGTGTTACACACGGCGCCGGCTCTCGCCTGCTGCTCCACGACTAACGAACCAGCTTCTCTTCTCCATCAGGGCAATGGCTGGTATCTCGGAGCGCACCTTCATCGCCATCAAGCCTGACGGTGTCCAGCGGGGCCTGGTGGGCGAAATCATCAAGCGGTTTGAGCAGAAGGGCTTCAAACTGGTGGCCATGAAGTTAATACACGTAAGGCTTCCTCGATTTGTGTGTCCTCCTTTTCATGGAAACTTCACCCGTAGAATAGAGTAGCATGCTGTAATGGTAAATGTCGTCCTCAGAATAAATAATATTTTGATAATGGCTTGGGGTATTTTGGAGAACTTCCAGTTTCTAACTCCGGCTAAATGCCTTAGACATCTTAAGCATGTTATTTTTAGTATCCTGATGTCCTTAGTCTGAAGAGAATATTCTTTTCAGGGAATTCTATGTCTAGGAAATAGCCTTGTCAATCTACAGCGCATATCGGTTCACCTATATCTATCTGCTTTTCTGAGTTCAGCTATGGTAAAATGAACTGTTCAAATTTCAAATCCCAAGTTGTGTTTCTAGGAAGTTGCTAAAAATGGTTAATTTTGAAGTGCTCACATGTGCTAAGATGAATAGTGCTCTGTTATCCTATGTGATTTCAATATGCTCTTACATTCTTACAGTAAGCTTTTTTTCCCCCGTGTTTCTCGCAGGCCTCTGAAGATCTTCTGAGAGAGCACTACATTGACCTGAAAGACCGGCCGTTCTACGATGGTCTGGTGCAGTATATGCACTCTGGACCTATTGTTGCTATGGTGAGTTTTTAACAACGAAGCTCAGCTAAGAAAAATAATATTTAATTGTCTAGCCTTCAAAATAAGAAAACTTTGGAGGGCTGTTCACCCTATAGACCCGTAAAGGTGGTGCCTTCCCATCCTTGGTGGGGAGGGGTTTGTGCAGAGAGGCAATGAGGAAGGGGACAGCTGCACCAGCAGCTTCAGGCATCTGTCTGAAAAGTTGGAGATCTCCTGTGTCTTGCCACTGGGAACATTCAGCTGGTGATTTATGCTATAACATGATGGACAGCACTCTGTAGTGCTGAGTGGTATTAACTCTTGCTACTTTAGATACCGCTAAGATTTTTTATAACCTCGATGCTTTTTTTTAAGGTGTGGGAAGGTCTTAATGTCATTAAGACTGGAAGAGTGATGCTGGGGGAAACTAATCCGGTTGATTCAAAGCCTGGCACTATTCGTGGTGACCTCTGCGTTCAAGTTGGCAGGTATAGTTTGAAATCTTGAAACCATTTAAAGTTAAAATGCTTTTTTTAATAAAAGGCCCAGGGGTATGTCATGATATATATATAGGAACTCCGCTCTATCCTTCATCGTGTGCACAGAGCTGCCCTTCTGCAGGGCTGTGTAACATTAGTATCTAAAGATGCAAGCAGAGATGTAGTCTTTCTTCCCTGTTCTCAAAGGAAAGCAAGCTCGGACTATATACTTGATGCCTATTACTACTTTATAATTGCTTATGACTTTTCTCCATAATGGAGGCTACTTCAGAAAGGATATTTTCTTTGCTTTGAGTTTCATAAGAATTACTACTTCTATTGCTAATTCTTCTTTTTATAGAAACATCATTCATGGAAGCGACTCTGTAGAAAGTGCTGAGACAGAGATCAATCTATGGTTCACTCCTGAAGAGCTGGTTGATTACAGAAGCTGTGCTCATGAGTGGATTTATGACTAGAACTGAGCCTCCATCTCTTGATATCCTTACTGATATACAGCTATTCTCCTGTAGTTATTTCAGAGCCCTTCACATAAACTGTCTCAAAAATCAGTGCTATTCCTGTTGTGAATATTACATATAAACACTGTTGGCAGCTGCTTTGATTAGAAAGCTATCAACTTATAATGGAATTGTATTATAAAGCTTTGCAGCTACTTTTAAGGATAAAATAAAATTAAAACACAGAAAACAATCATTGTGAATAACATAGGCTGCATGTATTTTTCCCAAAATGCTCTGTAGCCAAATAAAATATTCTGGTAAATAGAAGCATATGCAAATGACTCTATGTTAAAGTTTCATTACATTGTTAAAGTGTTAGGGAACAACTGGCAGTATCTAAATATATTGATAGTATTCCCAAATATTGAAGATTTTAAATGTTACGAAATTGAGCTAACCCCTTCCCATGCCAAAATAACCACAGAAACAAGCGTATTTATCTCTCTCTCTGAAAGGTGCTGTTACTGTACACAGAGCATACGTTTGCTTGAAGCAAGAACTCTTCTCTAGATTGACATAGTTTAAACTCGTTTTTTTTTTTTTTTCCCCACATGGGATTTTTTAGCATTTTAGGGAAGGATTAATAGGCCAGGGTTTTTGAAATGCCATTTATGAGAAAAGAAGATTAATGTGCAAGAAGGGCTGGGGGGATGCATGCTCAGCCTCGTTACAGCAGCAGCCCTTGGACCCCACACAGAGGAGCGAGGATGATCACAGGATCTGGGAATCCTTTAGGTTGGAAGGGACCTCTGGAGCTCATCTAGTCCAACCCCCTGCACACGCAGGGTCACCTAGAGCACGTGGCACAGGACTGCGTCCAAGCAGGTTTGGAAGATCTCCAGAGAAGGAGACTCCACAACCTCTCTGGGCAGCCTGTTCCAGGGCTCTGGCACCCTCACAGGAAAGAATTTTTTCCTTAAGTTCCTGCGGAACTTGTTTGGTTTTCCAACCCAACAGCTGACAACAGCCCTGAAAAGAACAATTCGGCTACATTCTGACCTGGGCTCTTCTTAGCTTAGTAGATGGAACTCCATAGCGAGCTGCTCTTGAATATCTAGCAGTATTTTTAATTGTAAAGACATACATTCATAATAAAGCTACTTCAGTAGAGGTGTGTGATTCTAGAAGGACGTTATTAAGCCCGTGCAGAAATGTTCTACAATAGCTACTCACTAGTTGTGAACAAGTAGCAAAGCAGATGTAATACTGTATTTCCTTGCCCCAACGTGTTTCAAAGTGCTCAAACTGCCCAGGACAATCTGCTTACCGAGAGCTCGCGTCTCAGGGGCTCACACGTACAAGGCAGGTTGGAGGCGAGTGATTAAATGTCCCGAAAATTTCACTTGTCCCCGCGGGGGCTGCGGGAGCCGCCGCCCTCGGGCTCCTCCTCTGCGCCGGGCGGGACTCCGGGCCGCCGCCGCCTTCCCTTTCTCCTTGCCTCCTTCCTCCTCCTCCTCCTCTTTCTCCTTCTCTCGCTGCGGCGGCTGGAGCGGGTAGGCGCGGGCGGCGCTGAGGGGAGGCCGG